GCCTACGCACACGTAGTGGCCTATGCACACGTAGCGGCCTACGCACACGTAGCGGCCTATGCACACGTAGCGGCCTACGCACACGTAGCGGCCTATGCACACGTAGCGGCCCATGCACACGTAGCGGCCAATTTCTTGTCTGTGATTGAAGGGTCTAGCCTGAGAAGCCGTCAGTGATTGGCCGATGGAGCCAAAAAATCTTGACCATTTGTGATACTGCGGCCAGAGTCAGAGGTACATTTTGCACATTTTATTCGCCTTTTAATATCCGGGTTAAAACACAGGGAACAATTTGACCAATAGTATAGAATATGTCAAGGATATTAATCAAATGCCGAAATTCTTCAAATTCAGGCCGCATCTTCATTATTTTTGATTGAATTGAGATAAATTTATGATCTAGTAATTGCGATGATTTGTGATGAAAAAACTTACAATATAAACTGACCGTAAATACGGGCCTGGGCAAGTTGTGGTTATCTTCTTCAGTTATTTGTGCCTCATGTCGCTGGACGGCGAAGATTGGCGAGTGATCGTTGGCGTCAAGCACCTCGACTGTCACGTGAGCTTCGTTGCTGCCGATCTTGCCATCCTTGCTCGTTGCTATAACCGTCAGGTTGTGCTGAGGAAAGGGAAAGTCCGCACATTCTAAACAATTTTGGAAAAAATTCAACTAAAATTTAGGAATTTATAGAACTACATCATCAGCTGAAAATAATATTTACTGTATTATCCGGATCATTAATAATGTTATCGCAAAGGTATGATATTCAGCATTGCCAACGTCCGTAAACAATGTTGAATTTATTCTCGTTGGATCATATTCATATATTTTTGCTGAAACGTTATCCCAAAAATACAATGTTTACCAAATAATCCCTAACAAAAAATAGTATGTCCTACCACATATCCAATTCTATCCATCAGCCACTCCGTATTCATCTATAACCACCTCAACATTCGGCTATCATCCACTTTGCTTGGAAATGATCTCCATACAAGTCTCAGCGCAATTTCTTCATCCAATTGACTTGCAGAAACCCTCGCGTCGTGGCTGCTGCCCTCAACCAGCCCTCTGATGGCACGGCACTCGAGTCTCTCCCTCACCTGAGTTTGGTACTCGAAGTCGAGGGGACCAAGCAGTTGCAGGGCGCCTGACTGAGCGTCCACTCGAAAAAGAGGGGAAGCGCTGTCGCTCGCAAGCTTGTAGAGCACGGCCGCCTCTGTCGGGAGAGATTCAAAGATTCTGATGATTATACGCAATTATATTGATTTGATAAGAAAAGTCTGCGTAACTGCCCGACATTGAGAAAAGTTGATAAATAATTGCTCTGGGGGAGAATAAGCGATACATGGCGAAACATGAGCAATGAATTTCATTGCTGTTTCCTTTTACAAAGTCTGGCATAGATTGACTGGTTTCTCAGGGTTGAATAATTCGGCACGCGTTGTGGTTCTTGCCAACGGTTTCTGGCGAGCACGAAATGTTCATTAGTTAAATATATCAAGAATAGTCCAAGCATATAAAGTTTTTGCCCGATAATCATACAAAGTGCGAGGCAAGTATCGCAGCTAGGGGTTGAGTGGATAAAATTCACCAAATGACTGAGGCAAAGCTCGGCCTACGCGACTGGTCCGGTACCTCATCGTCAAGGGCTGCCTTGCCCAGCTGAAATGCCAGGGAAAGTAACTTAAATTTTATATTGAGAGCACAGGCGAAAAGCCTTAACACCTTTTCTAAATAAATCTTAAAGTGGTTAACGACGGCAAAATAAATTTCTAAAGTTTCCATCATCGGCAGAGGTGATGAACGTGAGAAAAAATAAAGTAACCCCTAAGATCCAAGAAAGAATAATAGTAATAATCAAAAGCCAAAAATAGCGAATGATTTAACGTACCTGGAATATTGAAAATTTAACGTACCTGGAAAATTGACCGTAAGCCTATCTAAAAACCAGAGTTTGTAAACACAGAGAAAGTTAAATTGAAATAATATTATATACAGTAATTACTTAATTGTTGGGCTCAAATCAATTTATGAGAACAAATGAGCTCTACTTTGCAGATTGGATTTGTAGACAAAGTAGGTAATCATTTTTTTCTGTACTTGGACTTGCTTCAGATCTGATAAGAAATAATTTGATTATTACTGGAAATTGAAATAGCAATGCTATTTATGACCATATTTATATCAATGTAATGTTTGTTTAATTTGTTCATGAGTCAACCTGCTTGCTTCGTTTGTCTTCAAGAAATTGCGGGAAACCATAAAGAAGAGTTAAACTTTCGTTTTTTCACGGCTCTAAGTTAGCCGTGCGAACATATTCATTCCATAAAAAATATCACGAAAATTCATTGATACATTGGTAATATTATGGCCGCATCTACTCTTTCTCATAATGAACTCTTCACGAGAATTAACCTTCATTGATGATTTATATTAGTAAACCATTTAATGCAAAGCAGATTATTTACGGTGCATAAATTTGTTTAGGATTACTACTAAATCTTCGAGGCCTATTGAGCATATTTATCGTGATGCAAAGTTACATTATGTTATAATGGTAATTACACTGGTGCCTTTAGAGAAGTCTAGCGTGGCGCTGAACAACATTTCCAAGGCAATTTCTGAGGGTTAATGTAATTTTATTTCGAAAAGCTTTCAGGAAGCACGAAGTTTAAACTTGCGTGCAAAATATGCAGGATAGAAAATTCGATCTATATATTGTCAAAACTTTTCACCGATATCTAAAATGCTAATAGCTTAAACGTTATTGTTGAGACTGCTTAAGCAGGTAAACATGATAATAATAGAAAACTAAATTTCAAACTTTAAACACATTCTAAATGCCGTAATTTGGATTTGAGTAAATAACGTCTAAAGACGTGGGTCTTTATCACATAAATCACAAGTGGCTGACTCTTCTTTTATTAAATATGTACAAAACGATTCAAATGTAAAATAAAACATTTAAGTGTCGTCAGATAGAAAAAAATATATTTTCTAAAGTTTCATAATTCAAAAGATAACCATGCGTTAAAATATAAAACTTGTAATTAGCCGATCAGTATTTGAAAATGCTGCGCTTATGCTAAAGATATATTTTGCCGAGTTAATTTAGATTATTGCCACATAAATGGAAACATGCATTTTCATCTTACATCGAACGTTTAATTGTTTTTTTTTTGATCTAGAATCAAGAAAACAGAAACCCAATGATAGTTTCTAAAAACAGTACCAATAAAATATTATCCGGGATACTTCATAGGGTAAAACTACGCACAAAAATATATGTACCATCATCAGGAGAAACTGCCTGTAGTAGAAGTATGGTGCCCGGGGCGGCCGCCTCAGAGACCTGGACTACGTAATTCTTCTGGCTGAACTGAACAGACTGGCCGCTCATGAGCTGCGTCACTGCAACGCAAGGTTTAGTCTGCAGGTTGTGTTCAAATTTGCATTGAAATTTACTTATTTGGAGCTTTATACTGAGAATAGCATGCGAATGGTGAATGTTAGATGGCGCAGACTTTATTCACTTTCACTGATAATTAACCTTTATTCATTTACAAACATTATCAATTCCCTTTTATTTTCCTTTATCGCACTAAACTACATTGTTCTCAAATAACGTAAATAAGTCGGCAAAAATATGAGTCCAAGCTCAAATTATAAGACAATTGCAATAAATAGATTTGAATGGATTAATAAACAACCATGATTGAACGTTTGATTTTTTATTGCTTACGAACAACCGAATACTCAAATTTACTAAAAATTTAATTCGAAGACCACAAACCCCAATTAATGGCTTATCGCTAAATCATTACCGCGTTCAGTATCAATGCTTGCCTAAAAAAACAGCTTCTATACTTTCCGAATAAACCGTTGGATTGACCTTAATTACGAATTCAAAAAACATATTTTCACGCTGTAAGTAAAAAAAAAATAGTCGAGTGCTAGTGTTATTCATTTTCTGTCTTTTCTCTCTAAAGCCATAAAAAGTTTCCTATGTTTTTCTACACTCAGTTAGAAGAAAACTTAATCGAAAATTCTCCACAAAACTGTCGCTTTTAACAGTCAACACCGGCGCAAAAAATGAAGCAGCACGATTCCCTTTGCAGATGGATCACTTGTTTTTATTATTGGCAGCCAACAATCAATCATAAGAGAACGATCGTATTCCTGGAAATTTCTGCTGATAAAATGCGAAATATTTTTATTCCGTGGATTATATATACGAGTGTCTAGATAACGGATAACTCGAATGTAGTAAAACAGTAGAAAATTATTTAAAAACGCATTGAAGAAATAATGAACTTGTAGCTGCATTGACTTTAAAAAAATAATAATGTAAAAAGAGAGCTAATACGAAGTAAAAATTATTGATTGATCGTTAAGTAGCCTACCAACGCTCCCCAAGACGTTTTGAATAAAAAGTACGAAAGAAATTATCGAATTAGGTTACGTGACCTTATTAAAAATTTAAAGTCGCAATTATGGGTGTTAAAAATTATTTTTATATAGATTTTTCCTTATAAATAAAAAATTTATCGCATCTAGAAAAACTAAATTCGATGGCGATCACCAAATTGCGACGCAGAAAATTCAGCACATCGGCGACCTAAATACGAGTCCAATTACATTTCCCTTAATTTATCCTTTCATCAATTATAGCAGATGCGTATATGAGATCATACGCAATGTAAATAAAATATATAAAAATTGTGATCGTTAACTAAAAGTCACAACACTCCATCTTAACTAACTTAAAGCGTCTCCATCAGTAACTCGCTATGTCGAGCTACTATTTTTTTCTAAAGCTTGTATATTTGTTAAGGTGTTAGATGGCGTCCTTGAAACTTGCCACTGCACACACTAGCTGTTATTCAAGCGCGTATCCACAATACCAACATTTTCGGGGTGTGACCGGGATCTGTTATTTCCAGATGTGGAATCACGAGACTTTTCAAAACGTTGATAACGCGGCATTAAAATAAGAAATGACAAATCTTTACCTTAATTTAGTTTATAATTTAATCGAGAACAATTCGAAAATCGAATATCCATCAATCTTCTGAAACAAAGTTTGATGATTATTTGGTTTTGATTTTCTGTTGGATGGCATCATCCTTTTAATTGTTAATAGAAAATAATTATTAATATAACATGTAATTATCATTAACATACGAATTCAGTAGTATTGTATTCCTATATATTACTGTAAATTATTAGGCCATGCAGCTGCTTTTTGCTGATTTTCGTTGTAAGATTTTTTTATAACAATGCCGCCTTCATTTCAAATATTTTTTCGCATGTACGTACCTACTGAATATTGCTTTCTAATAAAGTACTATGTAAATTTCCCACCACTGACCATCAGACCGCTAAGATTAAACGCGACCAGCGCTTAATCTCTGATGTGGGCGTTAAATTTGTTGTATCCGTCATATAAGATGCTCATCCCGACCTGCGTACTGATTCCTCTCTTATAAGATTTTGTCTCCGACGCCAGGATGAGTTACGTGAAATAGCGATGAGATTTGAATACCTAGAGAAATACAGTGAATATTATTTGAACATTTTAATTTGTTATGCGTAGGTATTTTCTTTTGTTTTCTCTTTTAGGATCGCGCGTTTATTCTCGAGCTCTCTCCGCATTCGATTTGCTATAGCTCCTGTGTGGGATTTGTTAATTCGCTTAGTATTTATATTTCGCATCCGTCTGTTAGATGGTTAGTTCGATTTGTTTTGCCTTAATTCACTGTTTATCTATAAATACGTTGAATTAAGCTTGTCTTTGAGCTATCAATCCGTCCAACCCAAGCCTTGCTTATATAAGGTAATAGGGAAGCATCTTTCAATTTCCGGTCATTGTTGAGCGTGACAATTAAGACCATCCGAACTTTAAGCGGCTGACAGGCTGACATTGTGAAGCGGCTGACAGGACAGAGTACCAGCACCAGGCAAACTGCAGCAGTGAAGAGTATGAACGGGGAGCTGCTGAAGAGCAAAGAGGCCAGAATGGCGAGATGGAAGGAACATTTTCAGGAAGTTCTCAACAGAGAAGCACCAGAGGAACCACCAGAGGAAGTGAGAGAGGAAGGACAGGAGCTCGATATCTCAGTTGAGGCACCAGATGAGGCGGAAATAAGGGCCGCTGACGACCCTCAGGAATGGAGGTGCCCCTGGGGCAGACCAAATTTTAGCCGAATTGCTTAAAGCAGATATCGAACGGACCAGCTTAGAGTTGAAGCGGATATTTGACTTGATTTGGGACCAAGAGACGGTGCCGACACAGTGGACCAAGGGACTCATTTGCAAAATCCCAAAACGAGGGAACCTTCAGGACTGTGGAAGCTGGAGGGGAGTTATATTGCCTCTGGCCAGCAAGGTGCTCAGCAAGATCCTCATCAGCAGGATACAAGGTGGAGTGGATACATTGCTCAGGAAGGAACAAGCAGGCTTCAGGAGGGAAAGAGGAACTGTCAACCAGATATTCATTCTCAGAAACATCCTAGAGCAAGCCAACGAATGGAACGCTACATTGTACGTCCACTTCGTTGATTTTGAGAAGGCATTTGATTCAATACACCGAGACAGCCTTTGGGCCATCATGCGCCAATATGGAATACCTCAGAAGCTTATCCGGCTAGTCAGGACTCTCTACGAGGACTTGCAGTGCTCCGTGATTGATGAGAACGAAACAACAGAGTGGTTTCCAGTAAGGACAGGAGTGAAACAGGGGTGTTGCATGTCAGGATTTTTGTTCCTCCTTTTGATCGACTGGGTAATGCGCAGGACTGTGGAAGGTGAAAGAACTGGGCTCCGATGGAATTTAACGACCATGCTGGAGGACCTTGACTTTGCAGATGACATTGCCCTTCTGTCTTCAACAATGAATCACCTGCAGCAAAAAAACAACCAGGTTAGAGAGTAATGCAGCAAAAGTGGGGCTAAAACTGAATGCCAAGAAATGCAAGATATTGAAGGTCAACAGCAAGAGCAACAGCAAGCTGAGGGCTGGAGAGAGCGAGGTGGAGGAAGTGTAGAGCTTCACATATCTGAGTGCAAACGTCACTAAGGATGGTGGGAGCACAGTGGATGTGAGGAGGCGAGTGACAATGGCAAGCGCGCAATTCAAAAGACTAACAAACATCTGGCAAGCCAGAAACATCAGCAGAAAGACCAAAACCTCCCTGTTCAAGAGCCTGGTTCTTTCAGTTTTGTTATACGAATGTGAGACCTGGAAACTAACCAAGGGAGAAGAGAGAAAACTAGATATCTTTCAGACCAAATGCTTACGGAAGATTTGCAAGATCTGATGGCAGCAACACATCTCAAACAAGTCGGTTCTTGATATGATAGAAGTGGAGAAAATCAGTGATGTGGTGAGGAGACGGAGGTGGAACTGGGTGGGACATGTGTTGAGGAAGGACAGAGCAAGCGACTGTGCTGTGGCCTTCGGGTGGGCACCTGAAGGAAGAAGGAAGAGAGGACGCCCAAAAAAAACTTGGAGGCGAATGGTGGAAGAGGAGAGAAACAGAGCAGGCTGGAACTCGTGGAACATAGCACGACAGGCTGCTGCAAACCGGACCCAGTGGAGGAGTGACGTCCAAGCCTTGTGCGCCTTATGGCGCAGAGAGAACTGAACTGAACTTTCAAGGTGACGTAATTGGTGATCGAGAAAGTTAAGGCTAGTTCGTCACACTGAGACACATATCAACTGGCAATTTCGCTCTGATTTCTTTGTCTGTTTATTATTATTATATGCACGTTAATAATTATTTGAACACAATATAACTTAATTATATGAGAACCAATTATATTATTTCATAAATTATAACAAAATAATTCCGAACTTGTTTTAGCCAGTCGTATAACTACAAGCTTAAAATTGGAAATTGACTCTACATTTCAAAAATTAACGAGTTCAAAAAAGGGCAAGTATTCTATTAAATTCGTAAGAAAACGTTCATGAATTCAGTAAAATTTGGCAGGAAATTTCCAGGAGTTACCCCGAATTAAAAGTTCCTGGATGGGGTTATTGATGCGAAAAGTTTTGCTGCTGAGAGCGGGTACGAAATGGTCTAGTAAAGGAGATGATGGTTCGATCAACTGTGATATAATTGTGATATGAACTGTAATATAGAATGGTTCAATGAGAATAATGTGCAATTTAAAAATATAATTATATTTGTGAGAATAATTGAAGGACTTTCCAAATATGGTAATTCCTTTCAATAAGTTAATTTGTTAATACTTGAAGGTAACTTCAAAATTTTAAATGAATGTGAACCACCTGAATAATACCTGAATGGTTAACAATTGATTCCCCTTTATTTCAATTTCACAAAAATGATTACAGGCTATGCGGCAAAAATTTATCTGCAAGTGCAAGCTTTTGGCCATCGTAACAATCTCATGTCCATCATCCCGAATCCACTTTATTATTTTGAAACTAAAGCACCGTAATTTTATGAATGAACTGATTAGACCTCATCGTTGAACGAAACTCTCATTCAAGTCCTTTCTGAAATTTGAGGAAACTTTGATTCTTTATTTTTGATTGCAACTACACTTGAATGCTAAAAAAAACTATTCTTTATATTTCTATACTGAGTCCTCTTAATTTCTCTACGTCACGAAGACGAAAGAATTCTTGTCTTGAAGACCTGGCTCAAAAATCGTGACTCCATGGTTCACGATTTATAATCAATATTTAGGGCTCATGGCGATATTTCGAAGACTTTTCTCTCGAGTGCAAAGTGATCAGAAATCTAGAATTGTAAGTGGCTCATTCTATCACTAAAAAAAATAATATCAATAGAAAAGGTAATATCATGACATGATAAGTATCGCGAATACCTGTCTCTCTCTATACATTAGTGTAAAATAGCAGAAGCTGTTCTTTAATACAAGTTTCATTGAAGACTAGAGAGCATATCTTATTGACGATTTTCTTATTGCTTTTCTCTATTTGGCTAATCAGGCTACTTGTAGGAATAGAAAGTTCAAAAAATGATTTCCGAGAGACATTTTATTAGAATTTACGACGTTTTGAGTATGCAGTATATACTATCAAGTAAGTGAAGAGTATTTGCAACGCTTAAAATTGTAATATGGGAATGACATAGGTACGTACAAGAGGGTATCTTAGATACAGTATCTCTATATACGCGCGCCGTGCTTCAAAAAAAAAATAATAATAAGCCTCAAGAGAGAAACACATAAATGTGTACTAATACAATGAGATTAATGCGTAGGTACATAAGGAAATGTACGTCTCATTAAATATACATAAGGTGATGACAATCAACTCATGACAATAACAATCAAACTATCAGACTCACCAATCCAGGTGCTGTTTGTTATTATCTTGAATATTGTCGCGGGGTCCATCGCTAATTATATTTTATCCAAACTGCTAAAAACTTCGCATTTACTCATGAATTACGCAATACAATATTTCTTTAGCTCAAGTTAAACTAAATATCACTTTTCTATGCTCATGGATGAAACATTTGTAATTTTCCGTTTGATTTGTCATTTCAAATTATAAAGGTTCAGATTTTTTCAAACACCATTCACTGCAAGACCGCATTGAACAAATTCATGAGACGATGACAATTTTTATTATAATTCTAATGGCAGCTCATGAGCCTATCAGAATTCAATAAATAATATCTGGGAATAATTTCGGTCTTACTGCAATCCGCCATTTAAATAAACACCAAATTGCACTGAGCTTCACGAAATCCGATCATCCGAAAAAAGCTGCTTACATCAGAAATTTTATTCAAAATTCTGAATCATCAGCGAGCTCCGTAACAGGCTTGTTGTCAACTTTAGATTGTAGAGTTTAGGTCTGCTCATGAGATTCGAAATCGATTGCGGCAATTGTAAAAAAGTAAAGGTCTTAAATAAATGCGAAGTTGCAGATTAAGTTTCGGGCTAACAATTCTTTTACGTCAATCGATCGAAAAAAATAATCGAATATTGACAAATTTGAGGACGATTGTTTTTTATCAGTAGTAATATCATACCTAATACTGCATAACAATTAACCAAGTAAAAGCATTCGTTCCATCGCGTCCCGGTCTATCGCACCCTCATCTCTGTTAATATCAACTGCTTCATGAGATCATTTGGCACAACAACAATGTGGATGAAAATTTCAGTGAATCTGTAATCATGAAGGGCTAAAAATTTCGAAAATTTGAACACTTGCATCTACCAATGACAAACAGGATCATTGTAATTGAATTGGCAGACTCTCAGGCAGGCTCTCGCTTTCCATCATGATGCACTGTGCTTGTGCATCATAGAGCGACTAAATTGAGTAGAGCCTCGTGATGAATATCCAATGAAACTCTAGCGGCACAGACGCGATCTGCATTAAAAACGTGCTAATGTTGAATGCATTTCTGCAATCAGGATCCATTCGAGCAGATTGAAAGAAAAATTATGAGGTCGTGTGAATTAGGAAGTAATTTCCAGAGTTCATTAAGTTTGTCATGCGAACAGCTTTTTATATATTAATTGCAGGTCTGAATTGATATGTTTGAAGAAATGCGAAGACAAATTAAATTAAAATTAAATTTGATTATCTGATTATCTGCACGGAAGTTAGTAACAGATCTATAATAAGTACAAATGCATGACAATAATTTACTATTCCGATTCGAAATGCTTGCATGAAATGTTTAAGTTCAACTATTTCGGGCCGTGGCCATTTTCAAACACGACCACGTTTCAAAAATGTGGTCGTGTTTGAAAATGATAACCTTTTTTGTGCCTTTTTTATCACAAAACATGGTTTTCACATGAATAAATTATACAAAAACTGAAAAATACTTCCATAGTCTTCTAGAAACATAAAATTCACGAAAGACCCGCCTGTAGCCATGGCTAAGTCTGAGTTTTACGCTGCAGGTAAAGTTTGATAGCCTCCACTTCATTATTATGATAGCCTCCACTTCATTATTATGGACAAATACGCCTGTTGCCAGGGATAAGTCTGAGTTTTACGCTGCAGGTAAAGTTAGATAGCCTCCAATTCATTATTATGGACAAACACGCCTGTTGCCAGGGATAAGTCTGAGTTTTACGCTGCAGGTAAAGTTAGATAGCCTCCAATTCATTATTATGGACAAACACGCCTGTTGCCAGGGATAAGTCTGAGTTTTACGCTGCAGGTAAAGTTTGATAGCCTCCACTTCATTATTATGGACAAACACGCCGCCCCGGGCAGTGTTTGAGGTCGCGCTGCGTCGTGGGTGCTTAAGAAACTCTCGAAATTCCCTGCTCCACGTAAATAATACTTTAAATATTTCCCATCGCCGTATTTCTTGTACGTAGAGGTTCAAATTTTGTACACGCTGATCGCGTCACAATGAAAATAATCCCGTACAGACCATAAAAAGCGTGCGATCAAGATTCTCTATTAATTTCATAACAAACCTTTTTCTACTAATTGAAAGTTCAGAGGACTTATTCAGAGAAATACTTAAAGATTAATTGCTCTGACACATTTTTTCGTCCGATGATGTGACAATAAAGTATACAAGAAAAGAACATTTTTTATATCCAAATTTTTAACACTAAGTCGTACAAAACAATTTATTGCGCTCAAGTTTATTTTGTGAATGATTTTTCGAACGCTAACACAATCTGGAACACCCATTTCATCGGTGTTTTTAAACAAGGTCTTTCAAGATACGAAATAGTTTACACACTTCTGTACTTGACGCAACCTGTTTCCTGTGTTTGCAATATCCATGTTGAATAAAACCTAAAGTAAAATATAAAATTTCTCGCGCTCATTAACTAGTTGAGTGGAAAATTATCCAACTTATGGACATTAAAAATATTTTATGATACTTATTTTCAATTTTTATTGTAGTTTGCAAACCAAATTTGTAAATTCAAGATTTTTCGGAACTTGCCTTCTATTTTGGTTACAAGAAATCCTTGCAATAAATCAATACAAGTCTCTACTGTTTTTCTTTGACAAATTAATTCTATTAAATTCATGGAATAACATAGTATTTTAACCGAAATTTTAATTATACTGTATGAGGAAATTTATGAAGAAAAATCTTGAACAAAATAAATTACCGACATTAGTAAGTGTAACTCGTGCGATGGGCGAGGCATTTGCAATAAAAATTGGTGCTATAAAATTTTCATGGAATTGAGGCTACGAATTTTAAATGATTTCGAACTATTCTCAGACACAACAATTTTTCGGTGAAAAAAATAAAAATCAGAAAAATGTTATAGGCCAGTTCTGACAGTTTTTCATACTAAAAATAATATAATTGCGTTCAATTGTCTACAAATATTTTTATCATGAGACCGTCAGTGAAGTAGGACGTTAGTATCATTCGTGGATTTGCGATTTGCGATAGATAATAATGTGTCTTCAGCTATCATCTCTTGCAATATAATTATTGAAGAAGCAATCATGAGCCACAAGCTTGAAGTCATCAGCGACATCACATCGCGATGGCCATGTAATCCTTCACACGCGCGCCCTCACGAATGCCTGGATGCCTGCAGCGTCAGCGGCTCGCGCTGCAATGGCCGAGCCACGTCACATGATCGCTGTTTAAATTGTGAAGTTATAATTGGACAGCGCAGGGGTCCCGATAACATTGAAGATACTCAAATTATTCGAGAATTCGTTTATGCTTACGTCGACGCGGGCGCGATTGATTTGGGGCGATAGAATGATTATGTAGTAATATGATTTTCAATAATAAACCCTGAGATATCAAAAAATGATCATGGCCTATATATGATGTTCAGTGACTGTTCTTTGATATATTCCGTGCTGCACAAAAGTATTCACTATTTTCAGATAATTTTTTCGTGAAAATCTAGTTTAGGACCTCTCCATGTGGATGATAAAACACCGTAGGTTCTCCTGAAAGCACATCTAACAAGTTAATAACTTCGAAATGTATTGTAAGTGAAGTTTCGACGGCCACATCCTCAGTCACGCGGCGGCGCGGTACGCAGGACGCCTCACCACACACACCACACGCCGCGACGCCAGGCCGCGCACTGACCCGCCGGCAGAGTCGGTACCGCGGCCTCTACGGCACCTTTACTGTACACACGCTAATGTTATATTAAAGGGATGAAGTGCATTGTATGTATTATCAAGCGAATCAGTATACGCCTGTTTTTAATGGTAAAAAATTAATTTCTTGAATGCCAGCAAGCAATTGACAATAAAAACATGTACTATCCACGGAGCCATGATACAGGCAGTCATCGAATCATCTGCGGACGACGAGCTGAACAATTCGCTGCAATCGTGGAAAGAGAAGTCTTACATTTAGGCTCCAGCAAGAACAAATTGCCGTTGAGATTCTTAACCGTGTATTTTTGCCCTTAGAAAGTGATGAAAAAAGCAGATAATAATTCGTTCATGTGAGCGGCTTCATATTCAACTTGAACCTGATGAAAGGAATATCGTCACCAATATAAAAGATTTAATATGTCATTACCCTTTAAATGTAATCGCGTTCAATGATCTTGATAGGAGTCTTTGGTTGCGTGTTAATAATTGATGTTCAAAATTCATTGTTTAAATCTAGAATTTTGAAAAATATAATTAAGTTAGCCATTATTAAATTTAAAAACCCCAATTCTGTAAACACATAGCGAGTTTTCAATTCCAACGTGCCGCGCCCCATGATTAAAAAGGTGAAAAACTGCAAAGCTTAAATTTAGTGTTTCCTCAATTAATCCCAATACCAGGCAAAAAACCTCCCACTACTAAAAAAAAAAGAAGATTCACCTCAAACTCTAGTTCCGTCGGTAATTGTACAGAGCAAATTATATAGTTTCTGTTGTCGCAATAATTGCCTCGGGAATTGTTAGGCTTGCGAATTGACAGATGACGCGATTAAATGTTCATACAAATGACTTGGAAGCTCTCAGAACCTGAAAATCTCCGTCAAAAACAGGCAGGGCATTAATTTTATTTAACCATGAGCTTTGCATTTAGTCAGATGATTGGCTGAAAACTTGAACGTAGCAGAAGTTATCTCATTTCATTAGCAATCGAAATATCTATCACAAAATTTAGAAATGAGACTGAGTTCTGATTTTGCATTGGCAATCTACAAGAGACTTTGAAACCTCAAATTATTGTAGACCGCAGAGCCGTCGCAACGTATGTTTTTATTTTAATTGTTGATTTCCTACGCCGATGAAATTATGCAGTATACTGTCATTGACTTCTCTTGCTATCAGTGACGAGTAAATATAGGCACAGGTTTTTAATGAATTTGCCTACTTATTGGTGACAAGGGAAATCTTGTCTTGTCTGTATAAAGTCTTGGTAAAATCACTAGCAGTTTAAAATTTGCATTTGCCAAGGACACTTGTAATGGGAGATATAGTTAATGTACATACATGCATT